TTTCTCAGCGATAAATACCCAGATTTTGATTCATTAATGTCAGAAAATGTGACTATCCAAATTTGTATCAATGCACACGGTCTAAATAAATATATGTACAAATAATCCGAAGGTAGCAGCAGATTTAATGGGTCCTTTTCGGATCTCTATTAGTTAGGTGACAATTGTCTTTTACTCATCTATGTGATCTAATTTTCAATTTAGGTTCTTCTTATATTCGTACAAAATCAAACCATACTATATACTTTATGTTTGCGTCCATACAATCATTTACAAATAAAATGTCCATAACTTTGCTTGCTTAGTGTTGTGGATCTTAACCACTTTCTTAGCTAAATTTGATTTGTAAAATGAGACAAAATCTGAGGGTGAGATTTGTTTAAGCCTTTTAAGGGGCTCGAAGCTATTAGTCTGCAGATGAAGTTTTTGATGCAAAGACTAATAATATATATAATAGTAATTCATGTATGTCGACTTTTAAAGCATTATATTTAGACTAGAGGGTGTCACCAAACTTCATTAGATTAATAGATTATAATGATTAGCACCATTACCTTATCGATTTAACGGGATTACGGGTTGAATCTACAGATAGGCAAATTAATACTATATTATAAAGTTCCATACTCATTTCGGCTTAAGGAACATAACTTTGAACCTAAGAAACATGTATAAAAGGCGGTTAATTTTAAATTATAGTATTAAACAGATTATGCTATTATACAATTTATTTAAAATATAAGTAGGTTTAATATTTTGTATATAAGGCAATTAGGCAAAGCAATGAGAGAAACTATTGTACTTTTTAAAATTTTCTCCACATTTAACTAAAATAATTTTCTTTTTTTTTTCATTTTTTGATATATTCTAATTACCACTAAAGTATAACGTTTTCATAGTTATAAGTTTCTTCATTTTTATTAAAGAAAAAAATTATAGGTTTCTTCATACCCAACATATATTTTATAACCCGTGCAAAACAATGAATCAATTTAATTGTCTATTTATATGTCAGAATAAGATCAAACTGTGGCCTTTTTTTTTTATAATTTTTGGGCCATACCAGAGAGGGGGAACATAAAAATCACGAAGGTCTGTCTCAATCGATAAAATACGTTAACCGAATGGGTGGGGCAATCATGCAGGGCACAATTCGAAATTCAAAAAAAGTAGGGGTGCATGTTCGCAAAACCGGTTTCGGTTCGAGTTTGAACCAATTGGTAAAACCGAACCAAGAATTGAATAACGGGAAAAAAATGGCTCATTATAATATAAATCATCTTAATGGGCTTTAAAGCCCAAAGAATAGTAGCCCATTACCAGATCAATCGTTCTTCTGATTCATCTACCGGCAAAGCCCTAAGCCGTCGCCGATACACCGGCAAATCGAATGTCAACGACGGCGATGTCCCTCCCAGAAACTCCGTCAGATATCCGCCGGGATTTTCTCAGCGCCGTAAATGATCGGCTTAGGAATTCCGATCAAAAGGAGAGACTTTGTCATGGAATCAATTCTCATCTCAGAGGAATCGTTGCGAGAAATTGATGGTTTCCAGAAGTTTGAATCATGATTTAATAAAGTGGGTCATCTTTCTCGTTTCCGTGTTCGCTCGAAACATCACCATGTTCAATTATTGATTATTCCTAGTACTTGTTTGACTAATTGCACAGAGCTTTAAAATTCGCAGCGTAATTGCATCCAACGAAACCCGAATAAAAGTCCAATGGAAAATTATTGAACAAACCAAAAACAATCATGACTTTTGACCCAAAAAAAAATTGTTTTTGGTTTTCAGATTTTTCCTATAAATCTCCATAGTTTTTAGTTTAATCCCACATAATCTAAAGGATTTTTCGATATTTTTCATCATTAGTTTTTAAGTAGATTTGATAAAATGAAAGAGAGATCATCAGTTCTTGTGGTGCTAAGTTTGATCATTGTTTTGAATGTGCAGAGCAGCTACGTCGGTGCTGAGACTAGCAAGGTACTTGACAATTGTCTTTCTTTTTTTTTCAGACAAGAATAAGAGAAACCAATCATATGTTATGACAGACTTTGGTCTGTGTTGTGATAATCTTATAGGTTCATATAGTGTATTTGGGTGAGAAGCAGCATGAAGATCCTGAGTTTGTTACAGAATCTCATCACCAGATGCTGTCGTCACTTCTTGGAAGGTACAATGATTAACCATTCAACTGCAGCCAGGTTGTGTTTATGTCTCAAGCTGTTTACTAAGAATTCTGTTTTTGATTTGTGTTATTAGTAAAGAGGATGCCCATGATTCAATGGTGTATAGTTACCGCCAAGGCTTTTCAGGCTTTGCGGCCAAGCTTACTGAGTCACAAGCCAAGAACATCGCTGGTACGCGTTGGCTCATTGCTAACTTATTAGTTTACTAATTAGCTTGGATTGTCTGATGTACTTTTGGAAACAGATTTACCTGGTGTTGTTCATGTCATACCGGATAGTTTATACGAGCTCGCGACAACTCGGACTTGGGACTACTTAGGTCTTTCTGCTTCCAATCCGAAGAATCTCCTTGATGATGTGAACATGGGGGACCAAGTTATCATCGGCTTCATTGACACAGGTATATATAGCAGTAGATTCTATGTCATTATATCGTAGATTGATCGTAGTTTCTATTGCTTTTGTTTCCTTTATTGTAACCATCGTCTCAATGACTTACCATTTTGGGTGGTTGTAGGAGTGTGGCCAGAGTCTGAATCATTTAATGACAATGGGGTTGGACCAATACCAAGTCAATGGAGAGGAGGATGTGAATCAGGAGAAAACTTCATTTCAACCAATTGCAACAGAAAGCTCATAGGAGCCAAGTACTTTATGAATGGGTTTCTTGCTGAAAGCCAAGGATTCAACTCGACCGATTCACGTGACTACATCTCTGCCAGAGACTATCTTGGCCATGGCACTCACGTCGCCTCTATTGCAGGTGGTTCATTTGTTCCTAACATAAGCTACAAGGGACTTGCTGGAGGAACTGTGAGAGGTGGAGCACCACGTGCTCGCATAGCAATATACAAGGCTTGTTGGTATATGGATCAGCTACAAGATATAACTTGTTCATCTTCGGACATCTTGAAAGCAATGGATGAAGCTATACACGATGGTGTTCATGTTTTGTCACTCTCTCTTGGCGCTCAAGTTCCTCTGTATCCTGAAACTGATCTACGTGATAGGATTTCTATTGGAGCGTTCCATGCAGTCGCAAAGGGTATTGTAGTTGTTTGTGCGGGTGGTAATGCTGGCCCAGCGGCTCAGACCGTGGTAAACACAGCTCCTTGGATTTTAACAGTGGCTGCAACCACTCTAGATCGGTCCTTTCCCACACCTGTTACACTTGGGAACAACAAAACGATACTGGTAAAGCAAAGTAGATATTTTTCTTTTATCAACGAAACACAATCCAAATCTTTGAACTGTCTGCTCATGAGTTTTTCAACTGTTATGCAGGGTCAGGCACTGTACACAGGTCCAGAACTGGGCTTCACTAGTTTGGTTTACCCAGAGGATCCAGGGAACAGCATTGAGACCTTTAGCGGGTAACATCACAGTTCTGGCTTCTTACGTGAAATGTTCAATGAAATAACATAATTCTGTTATCTGACATCATGCTCAATATGTACGTAACATTTTGCAGTGTCTGTGAGCGCCTTAATCTCAACCCAAACCGTACAATGGCAGGGAAAGTTGTGTTGTGTTTTACAACAGAAACACTTCACGCTGCTGTATCAAGAGCTGCCTCTTCTGTGAAGGCAGCTGGTGGTCTTGGCGTGATCATCGCAAGAAATCCTGGTTACAATCTTACTCCATGTAGAGATGATTTCCCATGTGTAGCCATTGATTACGAGCTCGGGACCGATATACTTCTCTACATACGCTCCACCAGGTACAGAACTGTGAATAAGTAGCACACACTTAGTTGTTTCACTCCCTCCGAGAAACATAGACTTGTAAGCAGAGTACACAACTTTTTGAATCAGTAAAATATCTAAAGGCTGGATTGTGGTTTGCAGATCACCTGTTGTAAAGATACAACCTTCTAGAACGCTCCTAGGACAACCTATAGGGACAAAGGTGGCAACTTTCTCATCAAGAGGACCTAACTCGATTGCCCCAGCGATTCTCAAAGTATATACGGATCCTAATTTTCATATTTTCTTGATCCGATGTTTTGAATCATAAGAAAATCTTTCTGTTTTTTTTTTCTCTCGTTATGCAGCCTGACATAGGGGCACCGGGAGTGAGCATATTAGCTGCTACATCTCCCGATTCCAATCAAAGTTCTGGCGGATTTGATATTCTTGCAGGAACATCGATGGCGGCTCCAGTTATTTCAGGAGTAGTTGCCCTTCTTAAAGCTTTGCATCCTACCTGGTCACCTGCTGCCTTTAGATCAGCTATTGTCACTACAGGTTCTTTTTTTTTCCAATAACAGAACATGCGATCAAAAGAGAAACCTTGCAATCCCGCGGTGTGAAAACAAGAACACACTGATCTCAATAAGTGTTTATTACTTTGCAGCTTGGCGAACAGATCCATTCGGTGAGCAGATTTTTGCGGAAGGGTCATCTCGCAAAGTAGCTGATCCGTTTGATTACGGTGGAGGCCTCGTGAACCCAGAGAAAGCTGCAGAACCAGGTCTCGTATACGACATGGGCCCACAAGACTACATTCTCTACTTATGCTCTGCCGGTTACAATGACTCATCTATCTCTCAGCTTGTCGGTAATGTAACAGTTTGTTCAAATCCCAAACCTTCTATTCTTGATGTCAACTTGCCTTCGATCACCATTCCAAACCTCAAAGACGAAGTCAATCTCACCAGAACCGTCAGTAACGTTGGACCGGTTGATTCGGTCTATAAAGTCATGGTCGAGCCTCCGCTTGGGGTTCAAGTGGTTGTGACGCCGGAGTCACTAGTGTTCAACTCCACAACCAAACGTGTCTCCTATATGGTTCGAGTCACGACCACACACAAAATCAACACTGGCTTCTACTTTGGAAGCTTGATTTGGACCGACTCTGTGCATAACGTGACTATTGCCGTGTCTGTTAGAACACAGATTCTGCAAAACTATTATGACGAAAACTGATGGTTTAAGGATTGTTATATGTTTATATGCCAAATAAAGTATCAATTATCAAAGTCATGATATTGAATTCTTCTTTTCCAATAAAGTTACCAATAATCTTTTGTAATAGATGAGATGAATATTCAATAGCAACATTAATCGTTTTATTAATCAATCATCAGCAAAAATAACACACTAAACAAGAAATCCAAACAAATAAAGGAATGCAAGAATCTGAAGTTACAAAAGTCTAATCAGTTCTCGTCGTAATACCGTTGGAGGATCTGAGTTCGGACAGACACAGGGATGACCACATTATGAACAGAGTCGGTCCAAGTCAAGCTTCCAAAATAGTAACCAGTGTTCACTCTATGGCTCGTTAACACACGAACTTTGAAAGAGAGCTTCTTAGTCTTAGCGTTGAACACTAATGTCTTCGGTGTCACGGTCATATTAACACCCATTGGAGGCTCGATCACAGCCTTATAAACCGATCCTACTGGTCCAACATTGGTAACAGTTCTAGTGATAGTAACTTCTTTTCTAAGGTTTGGGATTGTGATTGAAGGCAAGTTGAGATCAAGAACAGAAGGTTTAGGGTTTGCGCAAACTGTCTTCTTGCGGACAAGTCTAGTAATAGATGAATCCGTGTAACCAACGGAGCACAAGTAGAGAACGTAATCGCTAACTCCCATATTGTAAACAAGACCGGGTTTCGAAGCTCTCTCTGAATTTATAATGCCTCCTCCATAGTCAAATGGATCAGCTAGTTTACGGTTTGACCCGTCTGCGAAAATGGGTTCACCGGATGGATCCGTTCTCCAAGCTGTAGTGACGATGGCGGATCTAATGGCGGCAGGAGACCAGTGAGGGTGCAAAGACTTGAGGAGTGCTACAATTCCTGCAACAACAGGAGTTGACATTGATGTTCCTGACTTCATAGAGAATCCTCTGTCGTTGAATGTATCGTTTGGTGATGTAGCTGCGAGTATATTCACTCCAGGTGCTGCAATATCAGGCTGTGTTTGAAAACAAGACAATTACTTGTCAATGTATTCAAAAGAATGTAGATGAAACTTCAGTCAGAAGTAACTACATGAAACTGACAAGCCCTAAGGACTCATTTTATTGATGATTTTCTTGAACATATTTCTTGTACACATTGTATTCTGAAAACATATAAACCTTTAAAATCTAAGTTACAAAGCAATAAACTATGCTCAAAAGTTATCAAAAATATAATCTAGGATGTAGAAGTATGCCTTGAGACAGAATCTAGTAGGGTTTAGGATTTATGATTGATCAAAAACAAATGATCTAGTAGTTTTACCTTAAGAATCGCAGGAGAGATCGAACTAGGACCTCTCGATGAGAATGTCGCGACCTTTGTAGCCACGGGGAGTCCATCCAACGTTCTTGTAGGCTGTATCTTTGCGACAGGTGATCTATAAAACCAACCATTTGATTATACAAAAATTCAAAATTAAACTAAATGGTTATAAGTTGATGAAGATTAGTATTTATTTATATACCTAGTGGAACGTATGTAGAAGAGTATATCGGTTCCGAGTTCGTAATCTACAGCGAGACAAGGAAAACCGTCGCAGGGGTTAATCTGATAGCCCGGATTTCTTGCAACGATCACACCATAACCATCAAGATCGAATACATCTGATGCAGCTTTGATTACGGTACCATAATCCGTGGATTTTGTGAAACACAAGACAATTTTCTCTTTTATTATACTTGCTGGATTCTTAGAGAGATCTTCACAAACTCTGGAAGTTAAAATTAAGAAAGAGATTTAGTCTCATTAGAGACATATAATGGAAATGGGAAACTAGAGAGACGAGAATAGATTTAAGAATTTACCCGGAAAATGTCTCGTTGCTATCTCCTGGACCTTCGGGGTAAACCAGACCAGTGAAATCCATTTCTGGTCCTTGATACAATGCTTGAGCCTAAAATTGAAAGAAGTTGAAATGTTCAAACAAAGATTGTGAACACAAGTATCTGTTTTTTTGGACTAGTGTAAAAAGCTTACCACAATTGTAACATTGTTGCCAAGAGTAATAACTGTGGGAAAAGACCGATCTTGAGTGGATGCAGCAACGGTAATGATCCAAGGAGCCGTGTTGGTAACGGTTTGAGAAGCCGGACCAGCGTTACCACCAGAACACACGACAGGAATTCCCTTCGCAACCGCGTGAAACGCTCCAACCGCAATAGCGTCTCGAGCGTCCACTTCTGGAAACAGAGGAATCGGAAACGAAGTTGAGATAGACAAAACGTCTACACCGTCGTGAATCGCTTCGTCTATTGCTTTCAACATATCTGCTGCTGAACAAGTCGCTGTCCCTATAGAAGCTACGTGCCAACAAGCCTTGTACATAGCTACGTGGGCTCGTGGAGCTCCGCCTCTAGCGGTTCCTCTTCCTAGAGCTAAGTAGCTCGCGTCCGGGACCCACGAGCCAGCAGCAGTTGCAGCCACGTGGGTACCGTGACCGTTGAAGTCTCTAGGAGAGACGTATTCCGGATTCTCGGTGGTGTTCCAGTTGCTTTCGTCGGCGCCACCGAGTAAACCGCTAACAAAGTATTTGGCGCCAATCAGTTTTCTGTGACAAACGGTTGAGCCGTTGAAACTCTGTTTTGACTCACAATTTCCTTTCCAACGTTTTGGTATTGGTCCAATACCATTGTCATTGAATGATTCAGACTCTGGCCATATTCCTGATTTCAAGTATAAAACAAACCGAATTTTAACCAAAATTTGGAACTTCTCAAGAGACAAGAATCCGGTTTAGAAATATACCGGAATCAACGACGCCGATGATGGAATTGTCTCCCATGTTGGTTTGGCTTAGAAGGTTCTTTGGATGTTTTGAAGTGTGTTTTAAGTAATCCCATGTCCTAGTTGTTTGCAATTCGTAGAATCGATCGCGTATGACATGAACAACTTCAGGTAACTCTGTTTTCACAAAACGAAGAATTGCATTTTAGCCACAACAAACATGAACTGTCTCAAGTCGCAATCGATCAAGTACCTGAGAGTTGGTTCACTTGAGCATCGGTTAGCTTGGCTGCGAAAGCTGAGAAGCCATGGCGATAACTATACACCATAGACTCATGTGCAGCTTCTTTGCTGAAATGTGACATGAACAAAATATGAGTTTTTACGGTTTGGGATATGGTTTTGGTCAAATTTGG